CTTTTAAGTTCTTCTTTCTTTTTTGCACTTGAAACTTCATAACTTTTTTGCATGATAAAGGAGGTGGAGGAAGAGGGGAAGGAGGAGGAAGTGGTGGTGGTGGTGGTGGAATCCACAATATTTGAGACATCATAAAGTCATACACCACCTGGTGAACGAAATGCTGTTATTTTACTATTGCGGTGCCAGTGACAAAGTGTACACAAGGAAACACCGATAGAAGAAGCCTGAGTGGCAGTAACGAACATTAAATGGAAAAAAAAACTTTAAATATTTTGCGAAAGGTTAAGCTTTTTTGAAGGTTAAGCTTTTTGAAAGTTTATTTGCGAATGGAATGCAATAACATTAAGAATTTTTTCAGTCCCGTGACAAATAAGGGGAATTAAAGTCAAGCTCATTATTAAAAAAAAGCATTATATATGGCGTCTTTGTTGACTATACACTAACCTTTTTTTAGAGTTAAAGGTATTGTATAAAGTTTGAAATATCGACGGTTTCACACAATAGCATATTATAGTATGTACGAGAAAACCAAGGGGAAACTAAAGATTTCTTTTTAACACTAAAACATCATTGGCAAATTTCTTCGATAACGATTTCCTTCCAAGGTCCATTAATAAACAATTCTTTAATAATTGACTTTTCTATTTTCTTTTTACAATGTAGATTGTAAACATCGTGAAGATTGTTCATTGAACTAATTTCATATATTGACTGAAAATCTTTTTCACCATTCTCTTCGGCCTTTTTATATATCTAACCCTGTTGTCCGCATATAATTGGATTACGTACTAATCAAATGCATTGCTCATAGTAACTGTAAATTTTAACTTTGAAATTATTGTCCGAAGCGAAAGCCGAAGGACGTTTACGTTCTGTGCAAAAAGTCGAAATGTTGGTCGGTCACTATAGATGTTACACCATGGCATTTGGGTTAAGGCGCAGCATTAGCATTAGGGTTAGGACGTGACATAGAGTTAGGATGTGGCATTGTGGCATTAGGTTAAAGGTTAGGGTTAGGGATAGGGTTAGGAAGTTCAGAAGGAAAGGTTTGTTAGAAAAGCTGGCCGCAGGCCACGCAGCCAATGGCTGCGCAACATTTCCGATAAGTTGCGTGGAATTAGGATTAGTTCGTAGCATTAAAGATAGCCACCTATAAATTAAAAATAAATAAACTTTAGATACTGTTAAATAAATTAAACTTTAATATCATTAAAATCGAACTTAAAAACTTTATTATATCAATCGACCTTCCTTGTGTTATATTTCGTTGTGTAATCGCTAAAATACTAAATTAAAATAAAAAAATGAATAACAACCCTAATTTTATTCGTCCTGGAACACTTAGAAAGCGTAAAAGTAAGGAAAACGAAACTCCTGATCAACAAGAAAAGTATCATGCTTATAATCAGGAATATAAACGGAAGAAACTTGCTGAAGAAACTACAGAACAACGCGAAACAAGACTTAGTAAGGAACGTGAATGAATACGAAAAAAGGCAAGATCTGATAGGAACACTAACCGTCAGGATGTAAATCATAGCCTTGAACAACTTCCTGAATCTGATCAAGAACTATTGCGAAATTTCGTAAAAAGATTGATGAATTAATCAATCAGCATTGTTCTATTTGTAATAAATGATTTCTGTCAATTAAACTTTTAAGAGGAATGTGTCGTAGCTGCTATTCAGACAAAAATCAAATAAAGAAATTTACCTCAGAAAATAATATGGATCGGGGAGATGTTCCCGAGGAACTACAAGGACTTGCTGAAATAGAAGAGATATTAATTGCACAGGTTTACCCAATCGTCTCAGTGTACTGTCTTCGTGATGGTCAATATACATACCATGGTAATGTTATAAACTTTCCACAAGATATATCCGAGCTTATAACACGATTCCCTAGACGTCCTTTATCATTGGATATTCTTCGTTGTCAGTCTACAAATGCTTTAACATTTAAAGACTTTAATGTTCATCGTAGTAAGATTGCTCGCGCACTTTACTGGCTAAAAGTGAATAACCGTTACTATGCTGATATAGTCATTGATGAAGAAATATTACAATCATTACCTGAAAATGGCCCTGTTGATAATCAGCTTCCCCAGCTTGAAGAGACAGATGATGAAATTCTTAATAATGACAATATTGAAACTAAAGATTCAATAGTTAGTAATTTTGTTCTTACACCTCTTTCGTCTCCAAATGAAAAATCTGCTATTGTCAATACTTTTAAAAGAATGAAAGAAAACATTAATAAGACTCCTATTATGTGGCCAAATATAGATGGAAGTCCTATTAATGAATTCAAGACTTTAGGATACATTGCACGAGCATTTCCAACCCTATATCCATCCGGAAATGCTGATCTCTGATCAAAACATATCAGAGACATTAAACTAGCGGCATATTTTTTTGCATTTTCTAAAATATAAAGATAGAAGATTCGCATTATATACTCGATAGCGGTATTTTACACTTAACTCGCAGATGCGTTGGAGAGCATTGTAACAAGGGAAAGTATACGTGAAGCAAAGTTTAAATAGCAAACAACTTATTATTGAGGAGGTTCAAGAGATAATTGAGAAAGATAGCCATGCTGCTGACAAAATCTTAAGATTCGGTGAGGGCGTGCATGGAACTCGACAGTTTTGAAACAGGAGAAGATTTGAACTAAGAGATATGATTAAACAGCTGGAACATCAGGGAATGGTTTTTTTCACATTCAGTGTCGCTGATTTACATTGGCCAGATTTTCACAAGTTCATGCCGTATAGAGAGAACACATCAAAACGAAGAGCAGCATAAACAAAAAGGTTTATTTAATAATCCACATGTTGCTGCTTGGTTTTTCGAAAAACGCTTTTAAGTTATTCCTGGAAAAGGTGCTAATTCCTTAGTGGGATCTTGAGGATTATTAGTACCATTTCGAATGGCAACATCGTGATAGTACACATGTTCACAGAATCGGAAAATGAAGAGGAAATAAAAGTAGTTTTACAATACCTAAATACATTAGTTATTACAATAAATCCTGGACTATTCGCACCTATACCAGATCGTCATCCATGCAAGAAAAGTACTGAAGAAATTAATTATGATAAGCAGGACTGCATCGAATTAGTTAACACGCTACAGAGTCACACTCAATGTAGTGCTTCATGTCTCTGTATAAATAGAAAATAAGAACAATATTGTAGGTTCAGTTATCTGAAAGAAACTATAGAAAATTCGTTTATTGACGATAAAAATGGTCAACCAGAGTTAATCACAACTAGAAATAACCCTTATATCAATCCTCATGATCGACTTTAACTTCAAGAAATATGCAAGTAAAGCAGAAATAAGATCAGAAACTTTCTCGGAGGTATTGAAACGGATTATCGAAAAGAGCAGACCTGATGATTCTTCACTTGTAATATTTCAAAAGCTATTGCTTCATACCATCGCAGAACATGATATTTCTGCCCAGGAGACATGTTATCTCCTCTTCAGAATTCCTCTTTATCACTCCAGTCGTCAGTTTGTTACTCTAAATCTTGATAAAGAAACTCCGCGATGGCTTTGTGGATCTGGAGGAAACTACTCGCAAAATAGTGAAGTTGGACAAAATGTATGTTCACCCTTACAGAATTACTGGAAACGACCCGCCGAACTTGAAAACATCTCATTATTTCATCTTTATTTGAAGTACAAATTTTATAGAGGTCAATGGAAGCAATGTGAGCGGGAAAACATCGTGCGGATCTGGCCACGACCGTCACCTCTTCGTAATGTTCACAATGGGAAAAGTTTTGTTGGGTGAAAGTTTGCTTCACATTTGTCACAGAGATCTCCTTCAATTAACCGAAAATAATACTTTGTCTTGGTCAAATCTCTTTGTTCAACATCTTGAAAAGATCGAAAGCGAACATGATTTACTCGGATCACCTATAGAAAAAGAGTTTGTTTATGAAGAAGAAGAAAGTGACGAATATCTGGAAGAAAGTGAAAATGAAGTAGAAACACGACCTGACTTTCAGAGATGGGCCAAATACTATTATTTAAATTTTTCTGGCTTAAGTTCACGTAGCATTGATCTAAATTATGAATGGGTTGGCGATGCTAGACAAAATAATCCTAATCTTGACCTTACTGACGTAGTTACTTTTATTCAAAAAAACTCGCAAGAATATTGTTATTAATGACGATAATCCTGAATATTTGACTCCTGTAGATTATCAATCATTGAATGAAAAACAGATGGCGATTTTTAAACGAATTGAATCTCATTATAATGAATTGATTACGAATTCTTACCAAATCGAATCACTAAGACTCATTTTAATGGGAACAGCGGGAACTGGCAAATCATATCTAATCAAAATGATTAGAGACCGACTCTGTGAGATTTCGAGAAGCAACGGTATCGATACCTCACCAGTACTTGTCCTTGCACCAACTGGAGTTGGTGCGTTTAATATTCAAGGCATAACAATACATTCAGCGCTTTCGATTCCGATTATAATACCAATGTCCTTGACATAAATGGTGAATGTCTTAAACAACTGCAAAAAAGATTAAATGGTGTGTATTATTTCAATATTGATGAAAAAAGCATGGTTGGACGAAGGATGCTTCTTTGATCGACGTTTGATTATGTCAAGCATTTCCCGAAAAGAAGAGCCATATTTTTGGTAATCGTTCAGTTATCTTGGTTGGTGATTTTGGCCAATTGCCATCAATGCTCGACGAGCTGATGTATGCAAAACGTCGGCATGACACTTTATTGAACGATGGTATTATGGTATACAGCCAATTCCAGGAGGTCTACAAACTTGATACTATTCAACGTCAATCAGGAGATTCAGATGAGTAACGTAACTTTAGAGACATTTTATTACAGTTACGTGATGCTGAATCAACTTTAGATGACTGGAAAACACTCTTTAAAAGATCCATGGATGCACCAACCATATCACCTGTTGAGCATAAACAATTTTCAAATGCTACATGAATCTTACCTCGGAAAGTTGATGTTGCCGAGTTCAATGTTAACAAATTGAAATCCATGAACTGTCCAATTGCGAAAATCAATGCTGTTCACACAGGTGGTAACAAACGTAGGGCAGATCCTGATGTGGCAAAGGGCCTTGAAGCGCAATTATTAATATCAAAAGGTGTGCGGGTTATGCTCAAGACTAATTTATGGGTAAAAGCAGGTTTAGTCAACGGTTCCATGGGTACTATCCGAGAAATAGTATTTGAAGATCAAGGTCCTCCCTCCCTTCCCAATGCCTTGTCCAGGCGCAGTAAATGCATATCGTGACACCCGCGCGTGTCGTCATTCGTGATCATAAACGCGATCAGGTCAGGTATAAAACTGCACCTTTGGTGGTTACCCGTTCTTTTTATTCTCAAATAATAATTATAAAAGATGTCCGAACAAGTTAAATTTGGAAAAGTCGTTGGAGAAGGAGAAATTCGACAAACATATATTGGTTACGATGGTAAGTCTTATAACTTTGCAATCTGAGTAAAAATTTGGTTTCTAACCAATTTTCAACTTTCTAGCACTCGTAAATTATTTAAGGAATCAATCAAACATATCGTATAAAAGATTTCTTAAACTAAACCGCAAGATCATTTTTACCTCCATTGATTCTGTTACTTCATTGTCTTCTGAAAATCTCGATGACATTTGGGCTCTTCATTTCATAAAAGAAGCGAGAATGATTGTAGATCACGAAAATTTCTTGGTTTTAGAAGATAAGGTGTGTTTTTTTTCATTTTGCAAAGGGAGGTAACTCCTAATCGGCTGCGGTTGACTTAGGAGAATTACCGGATAGGCTCACTTGGTAACCACTCCAAGCACTCTACTCGGGCACCTTAACTTTGTTGTTAGTAAAGGTCTGCTAGTTTTGGAGGAGAAATTGGCTAAGCACCTTCCTTTACCACTAAATAAAAAAAATCACACATTGCTAACAAATGCTTTTTTACAATAGGTTAAGTTGGAACGAACACGTTTCTCAAAATGTTTAGAAGATTACTGGAACAACATTATCAAGGAGTATAAGATAGTAAGTAAATCTGCTTATTTTGCATTTATTTATCAGTCAATTTACATTGTTACTAATGCTTTGGATTGTTCTTCTGGAATTAGAAACAAGATATTTCAGAATATGAGGAAGAAAGACAACGTATTCTTTATGCGCTTTCCGAAATAAATAAAAAAATAAAAATGAAAAAAGATGAGCTCAAGAATTCCGAAAAATTCTCGAAAGAGGATAGTTCTGGTGAAGTCACTCCTGGTGAAGATCATTTTTTAGGAATCCGCGGACCTGGACCTAATGAAGACAACGAATTTTTTGGTGTTGTTACGGGTAGTTCTAGTTCTCGGAGATCCACCCAATACCAAACGAATAGTGTGTATGATATGGCGGATAATTTTCATGATATGAGTGACTCCCAAGATAATGAGGAAGATGGATCTAGTATACCAACATTCGATCATGTTGATAATGTCTCTTCATTTAAACAGAATAGTTATCATTCAACAATT